CTATAATGAAAGTAAATTCCACGCAGCATACTTAAGTCCACCCAACACACTTGAAGATTCCAAATATACATAAGGCAATACACTTATTAATGTCAAAATGCAAGTACATCATAATTACTGCATGGAAGCAACGTAACAGCAGTTAGAAGAAATTACAAAAAAATTATATATGAAAAAATATATAGAAAAAATAATATACAGAAAAATATATACAAAATATTCCCTGTTACCATGCTTCCATAGCTAAGAATAAATTAACTTCTAGGGAGGAAACAATATAATGGAATCTTTTCATTCAGTCCATATGGAGACAACTTCCCCAATGTACATATCCAGAATGCCTCTCTTCTCAATAATTTGTTGTCTCAATTGCTCCCCCTCAAGGAAATGGGGACATGGTCAATGCCCATAAATCGCAATACTGGCAGGGTATGTCCTGCTTCCAAGAAATGTCTTGCTACTGAGACACTCATTAGAGCCAGTCTAATGGCCGATCTATGCCCTCTCATGCGTTCTCTTAAATCATTAGACGGCTTTCCAATATGCACAAGACCGCATGGGCACATAATGCGGTACACCACATGCGTTGTGGTGCATGTTATTCTGTGCCTGATCTTGTACTCCTTGCCAGTCGTCAGATGGAAAAAAGATTTCCCAGTTGTCATATTGTTGCAGGCTGTACATTTTAGTCAACGGAAGCCTCACAGGTTATCTTTAGTAGTGTCTTGACTTGATAGTGCATATTGATCCGTGTGCACTAAGTGATCCCTCAAGTTCTTTCCCCTCTTATAACTCATGATGATCAGAGTCCATACAGATGTTCAAACAGCAACTAGATGCATACTTGCAAAAGCAGAATATTCAATGATATAATTTTTCAATGTAGGGTAATAGCTGCTTGATCCAAGGATAAATCTGACTGCCATTCTGGGGTCAAGAAGGAATTTTCCTAGTTTGTTGCAAAATTGGAAGTACTTTAAACTAGGTTTTTTTGTCTGCTTTTGGATCAACCGCAAAAAACAAATGTGAGGCAGGCTGAACTTGATGGACGCAAGTCTCTTTTCAGCTATGTAACTATGATTGGCATATGTTGAAACAGGGTGGGTAATGAGATGTACTTTCTCAGTGTATCCCATTTCTTTTTGATTCTTGTTTCCATCTCTCCTGATTTCCATCTCTGTGCCATACCATACCATACCACGCAGAGAGCACTGGTTCAGTGCTCTCTGCATGGTCCTAACGTGTGTGAGCATGTCTAATGATGCACTTGTTCTATGCTTGTCCCCTGATGTCCCCAAGTGGTGGGATAAGACTGCAGACTAATAACGTGCATATGTTACCAAAAAAAAATAAAAAATACATGACATTTACATTAACTATGCAATTAATTTATCTAAAATATAGCACGTCACTGCATTTGACACAGTATTTAATCACTTGTATAGGTAAAGTTAACCATGATAGTTATAATCTATACCTTTAAAACAACAAAGTTGTGGCTGCACTTTGTTAAAGTTCATATATTAATGTAAGGGTGAATGACCAATTTATCAGTAACATATAGTTCAGAGTTTTATCTTCCATTCTTTATATGGATTGGCTGTTGTGTAAGCTTTCCAAATGGTGTTATTGATATTTATACTGTTATTTCAGTTATTCAAAATAACTGAAAAAGTCAGTTTTGCTTTTAGCTCGGCCACTCTGGCCTTAATTTAAAAATGTACTTTAGCAAATAACCTTATGAGTCTGTTTACATTCATGTCATTACCAGAAAGTTGAGGTAGCAAACTCAATGAGCACCTCTATAAATACCATTACATTCAAGGGACACTATAATACCACGTGACGGAGCTTCCTGTACCCCGGTTGGGTACCTCTGCTGACGGATGCTCCTAGTGCTCACCAAGGACTCCAAGCACTCCACCCGACACCATAGAACTCACCGTCTCCTACCCACCCTGGACCTACGACAAGGCTCCAGGTTCCAGTGGGTGAACGTCTCTTCCTCCAGAGAGTCAAGCAGGAACAGCACTTAAAAGAGCTTAGTGATTATAGCCCAGGCGAGTATACAGAGTATACCAATCTCCAGTGTAGATGCAGCCTTTTCCCCCACACATGAGACAGAGACTCTATGTTGAGGGTAGAACAGGAACTGAAGGTTTATTGTGGCACACTGCCTTTTATACAGTTTTCCCAACAAGGTTGACACCCGGGTGGACCTTGTGGGGCACAGGGACACAGGAACAACAAGCCAATCAAAACAGTATTTTACATTCAGTCACTCCCATACAGTGTACACAATCCCTCCCCTCTGCCTGTGATACAATTAACAAAGATAATGGACTAACTCAATAAACATACATTTTTACAAAGCCTGGAAAACACCCCAAAACACAACATAAAAGTCACATGCCCGGATAGCCCTGATCAACACATCCAAAAATCACCCAGATCGGTACAGGGGTTCAGGAATTTCCTGGAAATCATAGTTTTGACCGACCGCAAGCATGGCCCCATGCCCAAAACAGTTCCATATAATCAGGGCTAATGGTTGGTCTCTCTGTCTGGAGTGCAAAAGTACATAACTCACATGAACAGAGCCTGTCTAAAGCATTCCAACCAGGGTTATCACAGGGGCCATAGTCACAGAGCAGGAGGCTGGTAAACAGGCCCATCCAAAACCCAGTGGCGAGGTCATCATAACATCATATTTTAATACCATAAGTCAAGGTACATGAAGATTCCCGTCTGTCTGTACTCAGATATTGTATTAAATTTGCTGCAATTTGCAAATATAGCAAAAGCTTTTCCCGTGTAAGTTGTATTATTCTATGAAAAAACATATACAGCAGCTACACTTTTGAAAACATAGATACAGCTATATGTCAAAATGTTAGATGTCACTCTGTGGTACTTGAGAGTGCTGAATGAAAATACATATATTTATAACACCCCCTTTAAAATTAATGTAACCTGGATCCAGGGCCAATGCAAGGATTTTTGCCGCCCTAGGCAAAAGTAAAGTTTGCCGCCCCCCCCCCCCATGTGACATCACAATGCTCCACCCATATGATCTGCCATGTTAACTAACGCCAGTGCTGCAGTGCCGCCGTGTTTACATTATAAGGCAGGGACAGGCTATAGACACCAGAACAACTACATTAAGCTGCAGTGGTTCTGGGGACTATAGTGTTTCTTTAATGTGAGCTAAATTAGAGATTAGTGCCACGAATAATATACTAGATTGCCTACTTACAACGAAATGAGGATGATGATGGGCTCTAGCTGCAGTCTGGCTCCACTGGTCTGGTGTAGACCAGGCTCTCTGGAGGCTGTTTGTAACTGTGGTCACAAAAATCAATGTTCTGGGAGAACGGGAAGCAGCTCCATTTTTTGGGGGCCCTTTACACAGCTCAAGGTCTGGGTCCCAGGGTCCACCTTCATGTTCCACCAATGAGTTTGATCACAGGGGGTGGAGTGTGTAGGGGATATCCTGATATGTGTGTAAGGAATGCATTGTGTGAATTTGTGTTTGTATGCGTAAGGGCTGCAAGGTGTGTTTCTGTGTATGTACAGGATGCAGTGTGTGCGTGTGTAAGGGGTGCATTGAGTGTGTGTAAGGGGTGCATTGAGTGTGTGTGTGCAAGGAATGCATTGTGTGTAAGGGTTGCATTGTTTGTGTGTGTGTGTCTGTGTGTGTAATGCATTGTGTGTTTTTCTGTGTGCAAGGGGTGCATTGCATGTGTGTGTGATGGATGTCAATCTCTCCCCCCTCCGTGTCACTCTCTTCTCCCCCCTCTCCCTTGTCACTCTCTTCTCCCCTCCCCCTTCCCACTCTCATTGCCCCTCCCTCCCCTGTCACTCTCACCCCGACAATTTCTTCTCCACCCTCCCCTACCAATTTCTTCTTCTCCCCCCTCCCCTACCAATTTCTTCTTCTCCCCCTCCCCTACCAATTTCTTCTTCTCCCCCCCTCCCCTCCCCATTTCTTCTTCTCCCCCCTCCCCTACCAATTTCTTCTTCTCCCCCCTCCCCTGCCAATTTCTTCTTCTCCCACCCTCCCCATTTCTTCTCCCCACCCTCCCAGTTTCTTCTCCCCACCCTCCCAATTTCTTCTCCCACCCTCCCAATTTCTTCTCCCACCCTCCCAATTTCTTTCTCCTCCCCCCCTACCTTTGTTGTAGCGTGGCCGAGCCCTGCATCATGATGGTCCGCAGGTACAGGTAGCTTTTGTTTCCTGTACCCGGCCGGACTAACAGGAAGTGCACACTCAGTTTCTTCTTCTTCCCCCTCCCCTGACAATTTCTTCTTCTCCCACCCTCCCCATTTCTTCTGGACCATACAGGGCTTGGCCATGCTACAGGGAGGGAGTGACAGGAGGGAGCGCTGAGTGCTTCCCTCCTGTCAGCCCCTCTCCTCAGGCTGCGCCCGGGCAAAATGGAGGCACCGACGGGGAAAGCTGCAGCCGCCTGAGGCTCTCTACAGAGCGCTCGGGCGGCTGCAGCATGGGGGGGCCGGTGCTCCTGGCGGCGCCCCTTCCCAAGGGGCGCCCTAGGCGGCTGCCTAGTCCACCTAACAGGTAGCGCCGGCCCTGCCTGGATCGGCTTGCAATTCCTGGTCTATTTACAGGCTATTCAGAAAATCAATTATTCACTGGTCTTTCTTTTTTGCCATGATCCCAAAATTGCAAGTATTAAACCTGGTTCAGGTTTAAGGGACACTTTAGTCAATTCATTATTATAGTGACTGCATTCTTTTGACACAGTCCCTCAATTCAGTGCTAAACCATTTTTGAGCAGTTTAACACTGAATAAGGTTACGTGGCTTCCTTTAGCCCTGCCCTGAGTGGAGATGTGCCTAGGCAGCGAATAGCGACTTTCTTGTAGCCATACAAATTCCATCCTGCAATGCCTCTGTGATAGGCTGAATGTGGTCAGCTGACACTCTCAGCCAATTACAGACACCCACTGCTGCTGAGACAAATACTTCCTCATTAGACCAGGCAGCACAGAGGGAATGGGTAGCTGGGAATTCAAGACGTAACCAGTTCAATGAGATAAAGCAGTTGTGAAATGCGTTCAGTGTAATATAACATTACTAGGAGTGAGTATGGTTTATGTTAAACTAATTATTTGTGTTCTATCACTAATTGAGTAAGAGCATAGATCATGGCAATATACTTACTTTGGAACATTGGAAGAACTGTACGCCCTCATCGGATTGTTTAACCCCTTAAGGATGGTGGGAGTGCTATGCCGTCCTTGGGGACCTGGCTCTAAATGCCGGGGGACAGCATAGCACGTCCCCGCCGTCCTTGCAGTGCCAGCAGGGGGAGTGCCTGTAATGACAGGTACTCCCCCTGTTGCCTGAAAAAAAAATGATAAAACAGTGTAAAATGTAATTATATATACTTAGATCATATATATATATTTACTATATATATGATCTAAGTATATATATATATATATATATATATATATATATATATATATACACACATACACCTAAATACACATACACTGTCTAAGTGTATTTTAATATTAATATATATATATATACTAATGTCAAAATACACGTAGAATTATATTGATTAAATATATAATTTTCATTATATATAATTTTAAATATGTAAATACGTTAAATAAACAAAATTTTATATATATATGTGTGTGTGTGTAAATTCATTCTAACTGTATTTTAAAATTAATATATTTATATATATATATATATTGATATCAAAATACACGTAGAACAAAATAATATACATAAGTATATACATATATATCACTATACCTATACATAATTAAAAATAATTTTTAAAAATTATATACATATATATATATTTATACATATATTAATACACACACACACATATATATATATATATATATATATATATATATATGATAATTCTACTTATATTTTTATGTAATAATTTTACATAATTAGGTCCGTTTATTAATTACAATTTGCGGGACCTGCCTGACAACCCAGGCAGAAAGTCCAGGGAATTTAATTTGCTAGCACTATATTTAACCCTGTAACTTTCCAAGACACCATAAAACCTGTACATGGGGGGTACTGTTTTACGCAGAAGACTTTGCTGAACACAAATATTAGTGTTTCATAACAGTAAAATGTATTACAAAGATGATATCGTCAGTGAAAGTGACATTTTTTGCATGTTTCACACACAAATGGCACTTACACGGACGATATCATTGTTGTAATACGTTTTACTGTTTTGAAAACACTAATATTTGTGTTCAGCAAAGTCTCCTGAGTATAACAGTAGCCCTTGTGTACAGGTTTTATGGTGTTTTCAAAAGTTACAGAGTCAAATATAGGGCTTGTGTTTAATTTTTTTCACATTGAAATTCGCCAGATTGGTTACGTTGCCTTTGAGACCGTATGGTAGCCCAGGTATGAAAATTACCCCCATGATGGCATACCATTTGCAATAGTAGACAACCCAAGGTATTGCAAATGGGGTATGTCCAGTCTTTTTTTAGTAGTCACTTAGTCAGAAACACTGGCCAAAATTGTCTTTCAAATAATTTTTTTTTGCATTTTTCACACACAAACAAATATTAACACCAACTTTGGCAAGTGTTTGTGACCAAGTGTCTACTCCCTGTACATAGGGAGTACTGTTTTACACGTGAGACATTGCTGAATACAAATATGTGTACAGGTATTTTATTGCAGTAAAAGCAAACAGTATTATGACATTCACAGTTAAAATGTCACATAGAACTAAATACATTTTTACAATACGTATTTTCTCCCATTTTTTTTATATTTTATTCATATTAAATTAGGTTTCATATCTAAATATGGCGCAAATTCAAGTTTTTGTTTTTCGTTTTGTTTTGATCACAATGTGTACACTTTGTTCAGTCCTTAACGCCGTTACAGCGTTCTATGCCGTCCTGGATTAAATGGGCTTTAAAGCCGTTGCGGCGGCATAGAACGCCGTTACGGCTTTCAGCATCTGGAGGTCCGCGGTACTTACCTTCACCGCCATCCTCTTCGGGAGGACTGCCTGCTGGTGGGGGGTGTAAAAAAAATATTATTAAACATGTTTAAAATAAAATAAATGTATATAATATATATATATATAAAATATATACATCTTATATATATGTAACGTCATACGTAGTGTATTTTAATATTAATATAAGTACATATGTTAGTATTAAAATACACTTAGAATGACGTTACATATATACAAGGCATATATATTATATATAAAATACATATATATATTTTATGTTTATATTTATATATGTATAATTACAATAAATAAATAAAATAAATAAAATATTAAAAAATAAATAAATTATATACACATATGTAATTTCATTCTAACTGTATTTAGTTTATATATACACACACACACACACACAAAATACAGAATCCAGCGCACTCGCTTATTCACTAAACAATGATTTAAAATCTTAGAAATTGTAATAGTTTTATTTAAAAACACCTCACCTAGGCAAAAAATGATGGGGTTTAGTTACATTATATGATCATACATTGTATAAGCCTGCCAACTACGTCAAAGTACCCCATATTCGGCAGGTCCTATCCTAGTAGCAGCCTAATGCTTGCTCTTATGAGATTAATCCACTTACTTGGGAAATGCTTCCTTACTGGGACTGCAGAAAGTGCAGAGAATTTAATTCACAAGCACTATATTTAACCCTGTGGCTTTCTAAGACACCATAAAACTTGCACATGAAGGATACTTTTTTACTCAGGAGACTTTGCTGAACACAAATACCAGCTTGAGATCTGAGCGTGGACCCATCGAAGCTGCTGCCCGTTTTCAGTATTCTCTTGCGCCCCGTTTTTTGCTCTCCATAAGGTTAAAGGGTAATCCAGACGTAGACCCCTTGCTCACGGTGCCTAGAGAGATATCAGCTATGCCTCGCTGATGATGCCTAACAAGGCTGAAACGATTGTCTGGGGTTGCTGTGTCTCTCGTGCAGATGGTACTTGCTGGCATTTCGGATCTGGACTGCCCGTATGGGTGGGATCAGTCTGATATGTTTCAGAGATGTTCTCTCTGTAATGGCACAAGATGAGCTAAAACCAGCTTGAGGTCTGAGCGGTGACCCACCGAAGGGCAGGCTATTTCAGTTGCTGCTCGTTCTCAGTATTCTCTTGTGCCCTGTTTTTTGCTTGGGTTAAGGGATTAATACAGGCCTACCACATTTTAGAGTGGCCTTTTATTGTGTCCAGCCTAAGGCACACCTGTGTAATAATCATGCTGTCTATTCAGCATCTTGATATGTCACACCTGTGAGGTGGATGGATTATCTCAGCAAAGGAGTGCTTACTAACAGATTTAGACAGATTTGTGAACAATATTTGAGAGAAATAAGTATTGCCAGACCCCTCCTCATTACCATTGTTGGTCTGGAAATTTACCCCACCCACCGCTCCCTTTAATTACAGGCCTACCGCATTTTAGAATGGCCTTTTATTGTGGCCAGCCTAAAGCACACCTGTGCCATAATCATGCTGTCTAAGCAGCATATTGATATGCCACATCTGTGAGGTGGATGGATTATGTTGGCAAAGGAAAAGTGCTCACTAGCACAGATTTGTGAACAATATTTGAGAGAAATGGGCCTTTTGTGTACATAGAAAAAGTCTTAGAACTTTGAGTTCAGCTCATGAAAAATGGGGGTAAAAACAAAAGTGTTGCGTTTATAGTTTTTTTCATTGTATGTATATATGTATGTATATATCCATGGCAGCACAACAATGGGTAGCTCCTCCCTATCCCTAATTAGACTGGTACTCATTAAAATAAGGGTATAAGTACCCCCTCCTACCCTCCGTCTTTTTGTTCCTGTCCTATCCCTAAGACGGATTAGCCATTTCTGTAGACTAAGAACTTTTCTTTTATGGCTTACTTAAGGTTTTTTACCCTTGGCCCCAAGGGAGTTAAGCCTCTTTTTCCTTGGGAGCTCCAGTATACGACCATGCGCAAAGTTGCCCCCCCTTAAAAAAAACTTCTTAGTGACCAGGAGATTTCTTGCAGTGAGCCTAGGGGTAGCAAGTTCAAGAAGCCACTACCCAGGTATGGGCTAGGCACAATTATTAAATTTTGTTGGTAATACCCCCTTCTACCTAATTTTTTTTTAATCTTACCTGGTTGATCCTGCCTTCATATTGATGAAGGGGTACCAGTACTATTCAGGGGCAGTGATGTGTAGGCTGCCATTTTCTTTTCCCTTTTTGGGGAGTATTATTTATCTCCCTAGTGATCCAGGGGCTTCCTTGAAATGGAAAGAGGTCCCTACCAGTTCAGAGCACTTCCCTTTGGCCTCAGTACATCTCCTCCTACATTCTCCAAGATCCTATTGGTCCTGATTGCAGAGTTGAGGAAGAAGTGCATTGCCATATTTCACTATCTGGATGATATACTGGTTCTGTCAGAAGACAAGTACACCCTCATACAACATGGATAGATTTGCATCCAGTTCCTACAGTGGAGAAAGTCATGAGCCTGCTGCGATCCATGTCATTGACCATAGGTCTAACAAGATGGGCTCAGTGAAGAATGAAAACATTCCATAAGAACTTCCTTTCCCAGTTCAGAGCTGGGAATCTAAGCTAAGCTTGAGATGGTGGCTAGGCAAAAGATCCCAGTTTTTAGGGTTCTGTTTGGTATTATATTCCCTGGACTGTTACAACACTGGAGTTGGGGAGCTGACCTCCAAAACCATTTTATTCAGGAGAAATTGGCATTTGCTGCACATAAGACCCACTCCAATTTCCTGGAGCTTTTCCTGGAGCTACTGGCTGTGTTCAGAGAACTGAAACACTTTCAGCATCTACTAAGATCTATATTGATAGATCAGCTGGCTGGCGTTCTTCAGATCATGTGTTCATCATTTCAAATGGGGCGAGAAAAGGTCTCCAAGCCTCAAAAGAAGCCATCAGTAGATGGATTGTCTCCGCCATCATCCAAGCTTACCAGAAAGAAGGCGTTCCATTATCAGATGGATTAAAAGTGCATTCCATCAGGTCCTGTTCATCCTCCTGGGCAACAACAGCCAGTTTCCCCAGAACTAGTTTGCAGAGCAGCAACTTGGTCCTCGGTTAACACCTTCATTAAACATTACCAACTGGCTGTTAGAGCTGGACAATTGGATACATTTGGCAAAAGTGTCCTTTCAGTATCTAAAAAATAATTTCCCTTTTTGTATGTGTGATATTCACCTCTAGATCTGCTAATACACTTGCATAATAAAATATTTGGATATTTCTTTCCCTCCCTGGGTTTTGCTTGGGTATCACCCATTCTTGTGCTACCATGGATATGGCCAGGAAAGAGGAAAATGTATCGTAATTTTATTTTCCTGGTCATGGGCCATAGCAGCACATAGATCCTGCCCTGGGATATTACTGGAAAACAGGACTGAGGGTAGGAGGGGGTACTTATACCCTTATTTTAATTAGTTTATGTCTAATTAGGGATAAGGAGGAGCTACCTATTGTTGTGCTGCCATGGCCTATAACCAGGAAAAGAAAAATGTATAGACTATTTTTACATTATAAAGTCATTTAAATAATTACAGTTTTAGGGACTTGCCGGACAACCTAAGCCCTATATTTAACCCTGTAACTTTCTAAGACACTATAAAACCTGTACATGGGGGATACTGTTTTACTCAGAAGACTTTGCTGAACACAAATCGTATTTTTAAAGCAGTAAAACATGTCACAACAATGATATCAGTGAAAGTGATGTTTTTTTTTCCATTTTTAACTCGCAAACAGCACTTTTTACGGACGATATAGTTGTTGTGATACGTTTTATTGTTTTGAAACCCTAATATTTGTTTTCATTGAAGTCTCTGGAGTATAACAGTTTTCCAACATGTACAGGTTTTGTGTTTTCAAAAGTTACAGGGTCAAATAAAAACGTTTTCATTTCCGCTTTTTCACATTGAAATTTGCTTGATTGGTAATGTTGCCTTTGGGACCGTATGGTAGCCCAGGAATGAGAATTTCCCCCATGATGGAATACCATTTGCAAAAGTAGACAACCCAGGGTATTGCAAATGGGGTACGTTCAGTCTTTTTTAGTAGCCACTTAGTCACAAACACTGGCCAAAATTAGCATTGAAATTAGTTTTTTGCATTTTTCACACACAAATATAAATGCTAACTTTGGCCAGTGTTTGTGACTAAGTGGCTAATAAAAAAAGACTGGACATACCCCATTTGTAATACCTTGGGTTGTCTACTTTTGCAAATGGTATGTGATCATGGGGGTAGTTCTTATGTTATATGTTATTGCAGTGACAGCTAACAGTATTATGACATTAACAGTTAAAATGCCATGCAGAACTAAAACAATACAATTTCTTAATTTCTCACATTTTTTTATTTTTTATTCATATTAAATTATGTTTAATAGCTAAATATTTGATATTTTTAAATGAAAGCACAGTTTCTCCTGAACAAAAAGATATATAGTAAGTGTGAGTGCATTTAATATGAAAGAGTTGACTTACGGTTGAACAGATACTGCATTTATTCAAATCTAATGTGCACCTTTTTTGGAAAATACAATTTTCAAAATTTGAATGCCCATTACATTCGATGACGCATTTCATTTGCGGCAAAATTCGAGATTCTCAAATCTCACATTAGCGAATTAAAACTGGTAAATTCGAACAAACAAATTGAAACTAATTGAAACAGATGAATTGAAACAAACTAATTCAAACTGAAGAATTCAAGCAGGTGAATTTAATTCCGGCGAATTCACACAGACAAATTTTATACCTGAAAGAGAGCTTAAGAAAGAGTAGACTAAAATTGAAATACCATCAACGTTACTATGGTATATGGCAATAAATATTTTCATTATAGCACAATATTGTATAGTAGAATCTTCTTGTAGAAATGCACATTACATTCGCCAGCAAAAATAAATAAATTCAGCTTCCCAGTTTTGAAAATTGAGGTGCGCATTAGATTCCATGGCGCATTAGATTAGAGTAAATACAGTATGTAGTGATAACTGAAGGTTTTGTTTATGGTTTTTTTTGCTCTGAACCGAGCAAGTTCTTCATCGACCTATTGTTCCTGTAACATTTTGTAATTGCCTCCTCTGTTAAATGTACAACTTTAGAGTATTGTAAATTGCTGCAGAATAAGTTGGCACTATATAGATGCAGATAATATTATTATTATTATTATTATTATTATAACAACAACAACAACTATTATTTCAATGCTTGTATATGCCATATGTGGTTGAAACCTGCCTCCCTAATGTCGGTACATTAATCAAATATGCAAATTACAGATACAGTACAAATATATAAAATTGTGGTTCTATTCTCTGTGTTGGATGTAGAGTTCGTTGAATAAATTGAGATGAGGGGAAAAAAACTTGAACTCAATTAAGTGATTTAATATAAGTTTGAAATTTTAAAATGTAATACATATTTACATTAGTTTTAGATACGCATACACTTGTATCTAGTGTATAATATACTTAGTTAATGATCATTTACATCATATTTATAATTTTGGAACAAAAAAACTTACAAAAATACAATTTTTACAATGGTTTATCCACATATCCTTATTTGTACAAGTGATAGAAGTATATATTGCAAAACATGAACTGCATTCTCAGGCCCTATTGCCTGAAAAAGTAAAATGGCACTGCACCTCTTAATACCAGCAGACAAATTTAATGCTTGGAATCTATGGATTCAGTAGAAAAGATCAACAGACTGGAGCCAGGTGTAATGAAAGTTAGAGTTTTCCAATAACACTGTTTTACAAAGGTTGGATAGTGTTTAATCTGTGATTATTCTGTTTTGACAAAATTATTACCAATCCTGGACCAAATTTGCATTGAAGGAAAAATAGTTGAAGTGGGAATTTTTCCATTTTGATTTTGGTAGCCTAAAATGTACCATTTGTCTGACAATTTTACACAGTTCCTAGTTTAGTGGATAAACTACATAGTTCTGTCCTACACAGAAGACATGCATCCATAAATAGTGTGCAAAAATATATACGTGCAGAACAACATCAAGCAAATAGTTCTTGCGTTTCATGAATAGATTAAGAAAAAAATGATTTATAAATAGTTGACTGCACCCATCTGTAACCTCACTCTGAATTCATATGAGCTGATTCAATAATGAATTTGCACATGAAATTGCTTAGTGAAGTTTCAAAAGGGAGAAGCCAACAATTGTAAGACTTGTTTTCTCTTGCATAACAACACACTGCTCATTTTTAATGCTCATTTCATTAACTCAAAAATGCTTAAACATTATTTGTGACTTTTTTTTTTTTTTAAAACAACTGTGTTTAAAGGGACACTATAGTCACCAGAACAACTACAGCTTATTGAATTTGTTCTGGTGAGTAGAATCATTACCTTCAGGCTTTTTGCTGTAAACACGATCTTTTCAGAGAAAATGCGGTGTTTACATTACAGCCTAGTGATAACTTCACTGGCCACTCCTCAGATGTCTGTTAGAGATCCCTCCTGGGTCATGGCTGCCTAAAATGCGTCCAAACATTCAGTGTCTCCACCCTCTGCATGCAGACACTGAACTTTCCTCATAGAGATTCATTGATTCAATTCATCTCTATGAGGAGATTCTGATTGGCCAGGGCTGTGTTTGAATTGTGCTGGCTCTGCCCCTGATCTGCCCCTTTGTCAGTCTCAGTCAATCCTATGGGGAAGTATTGCGATTGGATCAGGTTACCACTTCTGCTGATTTCAGCAGGCAAGTATAAAGGAAACAGGGACAAAGCATGCAGCTCCAGACTTGAATACAAGTAAGATTTACTTTATTTAGGGAGGCATGAGGGGACCAGGGTGGCTAGATGGTGGGTTTATCCCTATACGGTCAGGAATACATGTTTGTGTTCCTGTCCCTGTAGTACTCCTTTAATGTCCAACTATTACCAAGGACAATACCACATTCCCCTCCATAATAATAATTGGCTCTGGCACTCAATGGCACACAGCTAAACATATTTGAATTAAATAGAAGTCTGATAACTCCTTAACTAAAATTTGTTTAATTATAAAAGTTGACTTATTTAGCAAGACAGGATATTATTAGGTATAATGGTCATTATAACTGGAGAAAGTCCAAGATGAAAAATAAGCTGTGGTTGTGGTTAATGGGGAAAGTTAGAAGCACTGGACTGTCAAGTGTAATGGGGAGGGGAGGGTTTGGCAGGTGTACAATTGTCCCCTAAGCCACAAGTATAGAGTGGTTGGCAAGGGAGTTGTGGGCCGCAGACTCAAATTATTACTTTGCAAATTACAATAGCAGGTGTGAAACAATGTCTGATAGCAGAGTACTTCAGGAGTGAGGTAGCAGGCAGGATTTGTGCAAGGCCTTTGATAGTGCAGCACTGTGTTGGTTTGCACATTAATACAAATCCATGCCTGGGGTGTCCCAGTGGGATATTTCCAGACTGGGATATCCAGTAAAAGAAGTAGAGCTGCATATTTAAATAATATACATTTAAAAAAAGTACTAAATATATTTTACATTTCACACAGGCGATTTTGCAAGAAAAGCTGGTGCTATTCCGGGGCAAAGTGCAAAATAAGGAGAATCACCAGTTTCAATCACCATGAAACCAACACAATATCTCAAGATTTGCACCCAAAATGAGGGTTCTATGATAACTCTTCCCCCACATTTATTAGATATTTATAGGTTATACTATGGCAGTTTTGCCTATATATTACATTATGTTAAAACCAGCACCAATGAAATGGTTTGCTAGGCTGTTATTTCACACAACTTTTGAATATTTGGTAAACAGCTGAAAATTGCCTAATTTGACCATTTAGAATGTAAGCTTTTTTCACATTAACTTTGCACAGGTCTAGACTTAAAACGCAGGCAATTACTTACATTTTATGTCTTTGATTTTACAACATTCATATCTGTTTTTCATATATAATACATAAAAAAGAAGCAGCATGAATAGCAGCAGCAGCAAAAAAAAACAACCCAAATGCTATTTAGGTTACCTCTTAAAATACAACAATAGAGTTAAAGGGACACTATAGGCACCCAGACCACTTCATCTCAATGAAGTGGTCTGGGTGTAGTGTCCCTGTCCCCTTAACCCTGCAATATGAAATATTGTAGTTTTTTAGAAACTGCAATGTTTACAGTGGAAGGTTTACTCCATACTGACATCCACTAGAGGTGCTTCCGCAGCACAGAGCAAGTAAAACTCAGTCAACTAGGGACAGGACCAGTATAACCTGTAACTATAAATTTGTATTCCTAACGTTATACATGTTCCTTTAAGAAAATTGTGACAGATCCATCTGTATAACCTGGGATTGCTGGTTCGTCTGTTTTGCCGTTTTCGTGGAATTACTCATTCGTATGCCTCTATTCGTATAATTGAAGTTTTTGCCGAACAAACTATCGAACGGACGGCCACCCAGAAGAGAAGTGTGCTGCTGGTTAACCTCTTGATCCCAATTAGAACGTTGTGGTTAACCGCAGACACTTCTCAATTAAAACCGAATACAGGATGGTCGTCGTTCGTATGTCGACCACGAGGTGGCGACCATTTTAAACCATGCGAAAGACCAGCGGTGCTCAGCATTGATTCCATGGAACTGAAAACGGACACTTTTTCTGCCGAACACCGCTGAAGCCGCCGACCTCCCTTCTCAATCGACAGAAGTATACGAACACCGGCCGTTCGGGAGTTTTAAACGCACGAATGGACTTAACCCAGATAGCCTTCCCATGGAGTCAATCGCATACCGAACGACTGTAATAGACTTTTACTCCATGGCAAATGAATTATACGTATGGGATCTGAGCGCTATTCGCCAATAATATGCACTCAAATCCAGGCTATTTGGGGATATGTGATACGAATGGGAAATGTTCGACAATTATAAAGTTATATATTTTTATGTGTTTTTTGTGTTGAATTTAAAATGGTGATTTGCCTCTGTCCTGGAGATAATTGAATTAGTTCTCAATTATCTCCAGGGCAGAGGGGAGGAAATCATAATGCATGCTGGGAATATTCTGCGTCTGTGGGTCCTAACCTGCCATATGTCTGTCTATTGTTACAGTCTCCCATTTGGTCCCGTAGGGGAGTGTCCACCAAGTGGGAGACCTGCATAAATACGGGCAGGTAGCCCACAGTAAAGCCAGTTCATGTTTTACTTTCAATGCAGAGCTTGGTCTCATTATTGGGGGGATTTATTACCGACGACTAGAGACTGCCGGATGGGATTATTAGCCGCTTGGGAGATATATGTGTTCGGCTACTATTGGCGATTCGTGAGTTTGGACCTCGTGAAGTGAAGTTACCGTACAGGTCCCATTCGTGAGATTACAGTGTTCCCCTGCTTGCGGTTCGTATGATTGCACTTGATACGAATGAAGCCTGTGTTATTGCGAGAGGGGAGGATTCACTAAACGGCGGTTTGTGCATTTGATGCTGAGGGTACCGTAATAAAAATATTGTTAATTTATCTATGCAATGCATTATACAATGTAGTTCACTTCCAGTTTGCAGTGTGCCTTTAAAGCTCAACTGTCACCTCAAACTATTTTCTAATGTAATAATACTTTCATCAAGTTTTTAAATGGTTTTTTTGAGTAAATAAAAAAAAAAAATTCACCCTTTTGTATATAACAGTATGACAGGATCCTTCAAGTACATACAGACTAGTTCTGGGCTTATGTGCAGGGAGTGAGGTAGTGAAGATAATGAAGACTAGCTGTTGGTTTTTAAACTCTTTCTGACCCAAGGGGCGTGTATAGGACTGAAGGGTCTTGTCACATACTAAAGGTAGGGATGGGATTTAAAAAAAAAAAAAATTTACCATAGACTTCAAAATATACAAAAAAATATATTTCCTTTCAAAACTTAATGAGGAAAAGATTATATAATAATATTATATAATAATAAAAAAAAAATATGGTTTTGAGATGACAGCTGTCCTTAAAGCCTCAAACATGGGCTCATCAATAGAACTTAAAGATGGAACTTTGCCCGTGTGTTAGTAAAGATAAGAGTTATTTGAGGATTATACAGGTTTGGGCTTCATTCTACAAAGAGTAAGTTAACACATGGTGCCTCTAATGTACTGACAAGGTAAAACATTAAAGGGACACTCCAGGCACCCAGATCACTTCAGCTAATTGTAGTAGTCTGGATGCTGTATCCCTATTGCACTTAGTGCTGCAATGTAAAGCACTGCAGTTCCAGAGAACTGCAATGTTTACATTGCAGCTCCAAGTCTGCCCTTTCTGGCTGTCTAAGACAGCCACTAGAGGGCTTCCGCAATCCAAACCGATCTGGTCCTCACGGACCTCCAGCGCCAGATTTCTCCATAGGAAAGCATTGAATAGTACTTTGCTAAGGGGGGGTCTAATGCGTGGGCAGGGTATGAACGTGGGCGTAGCCTGACCCAGTGCAGAGGGACATCAGTGGCTGAAGGGTGGCACAGGATGGGGGGGCAGGAGGGACGGGGTCACTGCAGGATCCTGCAGTGCCAGGAAAACGGGTTTGTCTTCCTGGCACTGGAGAATCACTTTAAGGAGATTGTTTAGAAAGAGGCTTAATTGTGTATTATGTGAATGAATAGGGAGGACACCAGGAATTGCTTTTTGCCACATAACACAATCAATCCCCAGCAAATAAAGTGCTGCCAGTTTTTACTAGTATACAAAGAGCAAGTTTCAGTGTCTAAATATCTAAAGATGTCCTCAAATCCATTAAATTGGTGACATGTCTGACCATAATGGGGATGTTGACAGGCAGCCTGGCAAGATAGACGTATGTTCAAAGTACAGCTGAAAGCCTTTCTCATGGGAAGAGATCTTCTGAAATTGTCTTTTCCTGCATTTAACATATTTAGTTATGCACTCTTATTGCATTTTTAACATGGAACAAAAAAAGGGACAACAGATGGAAAAAACAAACAAACCTGGAGCAACGGGCGTCAAAAAGTGTGTTTAGGCTTGATCTGGCACAGCTAGGAAGCATGCATGCACTGGTAACTCCTATATCTATAATAGATCTTGCATTCTATTGTGAAGTCAAGAACAGATTGAGGAATGACCATTAAACCTAGGTCTAATCAGCTTGCGAAACATGATCCAAGCATTATTTCTGTACTGCTTTAATGCAAAATATGTTGCCAATGAGTTTGATCTATACAGCTTGATACTGTTTATCACATCTCTTCGGGATCATCAATATTTTCTTGGCATGGCTCCATTGTTACGGCGACCCCCATACCACTGCATCCTACAGGCATCTCTGCCAAGTCCGTCCATTCATTACTTTCAGGGCAGTAACACTCAATAGAAGAGAGAAACCCTTCAGAATTATAGCCACCTGGAGAAAAACACAAGGCAATTTATGGAAGCGGTACTCAAGACATAGACAGATAAAGTTTCCAATTGGAGTAAGAACAAAGTTACATCCCACTTAATTAAATCATGTATTCATTATGTGTCATATTCTAAAACATATTGAGTTCTATTCATTGTCTAACAACCCGTGAATTAGGCAAAATTACGGACTTGGAAAAGATTTTCAACTTGGTTAAAGGGACATTAGAAGTACCAAACAACTTTGTTCAAGGCTCCGTATAAGCATCAAAACAACTTTAGCACCTGCACTCTCAGTGCTCTATTCTCTGCCTTTTAGAAGCTAAATCAATTTGTTTGTGCAGGCCTCCCCTGGCTGTGACTCACATAGCCTTCCTACACATCACACTTATTGAAAAAGAGTTTATATTTAAATATAGACTCTTGTTTAATTTAGCATTTCTTATACCATGCTCTTAATGGCCTGGTACAGCCTGCAGCAGCCTCCTATGTATAAAAGTTTAATTAACAGGACAACTTCTAAAGTAAACACATTGTGCTGTAAGCTTGTTTTGAAAAAGTTTACTTTTGTTTTTGTATATGCAGCCATAATCCCGCTTTCTTGGCTGTGACCTCCATGAAAAACCAAACAAAAGTGATTTACCTCCTAAATAAAATTTAAGAATTGCGCGGTGAGACTGCAGTGGCATCATCTATACACCAAAAGAGCTTCACTTAACTAAAGTTTATTTGGGAATCCCTTTAGGTAAAAGTTTTTCTCCAAGTGAGCAGTTGAGTATACATGTTGTACCTTGGTGGTGACTCTTGTTTAAATTAAAAAAAATACAATAAAAACATCTTCTTGATCATATACAATCTAGTTAAATGTTGTCAAGAGCATCCACTATATATGAATTATATAATGGAATATAAATCAATTCCTTTCTTAAATATACATTGTATGCTTATATCCAGATGGCTCATTGTATTTTGGGATTACATGCTGTGTATTGTTGCAGTGCTTACAAATGTAAAAACTTTATCATTCTACACTGCATTATAATATATTGGTTAAATAATAATTCATATAAAACTAAAATCATTATATTTTCTAGGAAAGATGAAAACTATATCATGAAAGCTAAACTGGACCCTGTACATACTCAAACAAAAAACACTCACTCACGATGACACAAATCTACACAAATGCACACTCACAGTCATACAGACGCCCACTTATACTGACACATGCACAGATAGATAAATAGAGAAATGTAAATCCACACATACAGACATACAAAAAAAAAATATATAAATTCAGCAGCTACAGCACTCTGAGAATGTTGTTCTGCAGCTGGCCCATTTTATTCCCTGAATCCCCTATATTAATCAGCACCCTATGCATGCAACAGTTTGTGTTCCACCTCACTACCCATCTACTTGTCTTTGGAGCAGAAATTCCCTTATCACTCACCCATGGGTTTGATGGTGTGCAATGCCACACAGGAGGCAGTAGACATTTAACTATTGCTGGTGCAGGTATGCATATATATTAAGGGAAATAGCATTTCCCCTTTTCTCTCTTAGGCTGGTGGCAGTTAGATACATTGCATTTATAGATTTATTATACAAAGCAACAGCTTTCTAGGCACTTGTGAATTGCAAAACTTGTTGTTGCACACATCTTTTGATGAAGGTTTCTAAAAACTTTTGAACAGAACCTCATCTTTTGATTCTTATATATTTATCCGTTAGTAAATTAGTTCATTCCAATGTGGAAATTTGGATATTTACATTCACCTTGGAATTTATTGCTGTTGAAGCACACATTCAGCATCTTTTTATTCCATGAAATTTAATAAAAGTTACATTTTAAGGGCACTCATCTCTTCTTTCTCTCACTATTTTTAGTGTTCAGGGTTAACCCTTATCTTCGAGTTCCCATTTTTTTTAGCTTCCTTCTCTTCCTCCTTTTTTTGGTATTTATTTCTATTGCTGGTGCAGTGTCTGGCACATCAAACCATCAGGCATTTGCCCGGTGTTGCCTCTGGCCAGTGTATTAGTTCTTTCAATAAACTGGAATCATGCCTTCTGTATCTGTGGTCTCAGTTAATTATTGTAGGTCAATGCCTTGTTATCAAATATCGCCATTTTATAATTGCAAAGCGCTTCGTAATATGTTGGCACTATATAAATGCTAGTTATAATAATAATGCCCTAATGTTTAATGACATTATACAGGATTTCACCGACAAGACAAAATTGCACAAAATAAAAATATGTTTCTTCATTATTATAAAATATTAATAATAGTGCCAAAATATTATACAACCTTTCAGAAAACATTACATACAGTATATAAGATAATATTTTAAATATTGAAAATTAAATTAATAAAAAGTAGAGATATAGCCTACTGAACTTTTGTTGCAAATCTGCAGAGATCAGGATATAGTTTTTTTCTCTCATTGTATTCAATAATCATGGGGCTGTGTATGTCTCGTAATTGACAATTATAGTGCAGGATATGTACCACGTTAATAACATGTGACGCACTGCTTCTATTCGTTTAACATATAGCTTCATTCATATTTTTCGTGAATAACTTAATTTATATGACTGCAAACCTTCATTGACAGATATGAGGCAACCCATATAAGTTAGATTCCAACCTTACAATTTCAAGCACAATTAAGGGTGGCTAATAACCTATAGAAGGACCATAACAATAATGGTGTTTGGAATGTGCCTTTAATGACTTAATGTGAACCATGTAGATAAATTTTTAACATAATCGTACTGACACATGTCTAAATAAAAGCAAGCAAAAAGATATATTTATCTAAAGGGCGTCAAAGATTCTCCTGGCATAGTTTTGAAATCACAGCAAATTAAACAACCTAGCAGGGCAGGCTTTTAAATTTTTTAGATAATAAGGGTAAATGTATGGTTGGAATAATACAGCGCTCATGGAATAGGCCAATTAATTTAAAAAAAATAATTTACAGTATATATTTTTTAATTTTATTTCTTTTTAATACTCTTCACATACTCTTGTTTTGTGAAGAGATATTTAACTATGGGAACGTAGGAGGGATTAAGGGGAAGAAAACGTATGTGGGCTGACTGACTATAAAAGTATAGTTAAGGTAAAGTCAACTATGTTTCTCTCTCTCTACAGTGGGACACGTCCCTTATCTGCTATATTTACTACGTTCACGTTTTTCCTCTGTCCCGCGATGCATTACATGAGCTTTTGCCTGTTAGTAAGAAGGGGAGGAGAGGAGTGGACAAGTGAGTGCAGGGTGAAACCAGGGAAATGTCCCCAGAAAGTGTACAGTGAGCATTCATTAGATGCATCTGCACCAAGCTCAGAGTGCTGGACCAGCGCTGTCTGCATAGTACGCCCTTAGTTAACCAGCTTGTATTACTGACAAGCAGCCTGGCACGTATTCATGCCAAGTTGGCTTTCCAATTCTACAGGCAGACCTGCCCTCTCTCCGGGTGGGTCAGCCTTTTTGGGCAGAGACG